AACCTGTTACATGCATAAAAAAGGTATTGAATTCCATAAAGGAGAGGGAAAAAGCCAAAGAGCATAACATGACCTCTTTAAGAGAGTCAAATGGTGATCGAAATACAATTCCATCCATTATCTTCGTGTTAATCTCAAGAGCATTATTATCACTCCACTCAACCACTTTGTTCATGCCACGCTGGTGCATCCCAGTGCTGTCTGAGTTACTTATAGCCATATCATTAGAATTTTTTATAAATATATTGATTTGGCTACTTGCTCTTTCTTTATCTTTCTTCTAGGTCATTCTTATAATTTTCTACCTTACGTGTAACTCCAAAGGAAATTCCTTGTATGTGTAAACCTACTTTGCAATAAAGCTGGATAAGATTTCGGTTTTGATTCTGATTCTACACGGCAATCATCGTAATAGTGGGTAAAAAGTGTGTTTGATGATGATGGTAAATGGACAAAAAAGTACTTTAGAGTTCAGCCTGTATGGTTCTCATTCCAGAAATTATATTCAACATCAATTCCATCTTTGAGGCTGTTTTTGAAGTTGGTTGATTCTACATATATCTGCATTCTGATGTAACATTATTATTAACAGCTTCAACCTTATCATTTTGCTGTCTATAGTTAACCTATCAAATCACTACTACAACTGTTTTTCCCTGTGTGTGTAAAAAGTTAATTTGCCCAAATACCGGCCAAACCAGCCGCATAGGGAATCCTTCAGCTACATCTCCAACAACAGTTAGTCTACTAATGTCTTCGAAGCACAAGATATTTGAGTATGATTTTTATGAGAGATGACAACTTACATATCATATATAATGATGTTCTGTATACTGATATTCCTGCAGTGAGTAATTCGCCTTAGTTGCTGTCGTCGTAAAGGATCCACTTACAGCATATGACACCGGACAGCAAATATGCACAAGCACTCATGCTCATGGATGAAACAACAGCAATAACATGTTGTGAGCAAATGCCCCTTCCATTTAATCACAGCATTTCCCTATTGCACAACAGGGAGGCAGAGTGAGCCAACCAGCCCCTGTGTCAACCCTGCTCCACTGAACTGAGCCAGTGAAACACTATCAGCTCCAGTCATCAGAAAATAATAATAGGCTCTAGAGGCACTGATATGACCTTGACCTTTCTTGTCAAGAGGTGTAAGCTAAGACAATTTCTCTATTGAATCGATATCCTGCTGCTGTAGATTATACATCAAACCAGCAGTGTTGAATGATCAATGTGCCATTAGGGCTGTGCGATATGACAAAATATTCATATACCGATAACGATATATATCCCTAAATATAACATTTTTTTGTAAACTTAATTAAATATGGCATTTCCAACTGTAACTCGGGATATAAATCCAACACCATGATAATTACCATAATAAAATGAACAACGACACAAGAAGTAATGCAACTAATGTTAGCTAGGTTGTGGATTAGCGAACCGACGCTACTTGCTGCTACAAAGCTAACATGAGAGGAGGAAACGGTTCAGAGCAGCACAGCAGCTCTAAAGACTCAGCTCTCCTGCTGCAGTAACGTTAGCTGAGCAGCATATCTTGGCGATCTGTAAGCTGTATGACCGTGGGCAACACATTTAACGTTACCTGACTGACACGCACATCGTGGCAGGCACTGCTGGATAGTGTTGTGTGGCTAGTCCACTATTTTTTAAGCAAATTTCTTTACCGCAATACAGGTGCCGGGTCGTGCCGAAAAGTGATCGTCCGCCAAAAACTGATGTTTGGTAGGCCTATGTGTAATATCTTTGTATTTATTTGGAAAACGGACTGTAGCCTAATTAACATGACTTACTGCCAACTTAGATATACAATGAAGACAATTTTGTAATTATCCTTATGACTCTGCATTATTTTACTTGCTGAGTAGGCCTACCAACAAATCCACTCTTTTTTTTACCAGTTAAAATAGCTTTAAATGGCTAATACAACTCAAAAAATTGAGTATTTCGAGTATTTCACTTGCCAGAAAATGATTGAAGCCTTTTAGACGGCAGCAGACGGCAATCACTTTTCGGCAGGACACAGGCACGTGTGGAAGAAAGGACCGCGGTGAAGTTGTTTGTTGTTGTTTTTTCTTCCTTTCTTTTGTTGTTTTAACCTGTCCTGCCCAGCAGCCTGGTATAGAGTATGAGGAGCTGGATACCATATTGTGCCGGGCATATTTTACTTTAACGAGAGAGTATTAATGTACTCCTTTGCCTGTTTTATTATTTATTTAAATTTATGAAGATAGTTTCAAGTTGGATATTAGTTTTACACTGGACATTCGATAGATGTCAAATTCCAACTTTAAACTGACTTTAACACAGTGCAAAGCGCCGTTCTCTCACCAAAATATTACGGTAAAGTGTGGGATGTGAGCCACAACGATGTAAACGATAGACCATAATTGTAAAAAACAGACGTTTTTCTATCGTCAAACGTTATATATCGTCATATCACACAGCCCTAGTCACTATTGAAACTCAATACTTTTTGAGTATGACACAAACAGTCAGTTAGTGTTTTTACTCATTCTTGAATCACACGTTTTTGAAAAATAAATATTTGGTTAGACCTTTATCCTGTACAGTAAGGCATCAAGAAAAGCATTGTTTTAGTATCCTTTTGAAACTCAGGTATCTTATTGGAACCAGTATCCTAATATTTTGTTCATGTCAGAGCCTGTTATGAACAGAACTGCCATAAGGCTATAAACACTGATTCAAGCACTTTAAATATATCCAATAGCATTAGATTAAGTAGGCCTATTACTGATTAAACACCCATGAAATGACATCAAAAGTATTTCGGCTCTGAGGTAGGCTACTTTAAGGAGCCATAACTATCCAGCTCTAATTGGCTTTTGCTGTGCAGTAAAATGGAGTCTGTTCTTCCATGATGACATCCTCAATGGGTATTTGCTTCCAGCGTTAAAACATCTAAAACCTATATTGCAGATGATTGGGGCAACTTCCAAATGGGTTGTAATGTGCTGGTCTATTAAAAAACTAGTTTAGACTGCTTCATTTGCATTTGACATTGAAAGTGTCTGTTATTTTGTTGGGCCTGTGAGGATGCGTGAACAAACTACTATTGCAACCAAGCTCGATATAATTTTCTGAAATAGCTACTGTGTGCATTCATTGGAAAACAGCAAGCTCCCAGCACTGATATGTCATATTTACTAAACTACAATTTCCAGCTGTACCAGTGCAATCAGTGTCAATAGGATGCCTTACCACAAATTTACTAATAACATAAAAGGTATTAAAAGGTCACAAGTCAGAATCCATGTCGGACGTTTCTGAGACACACTGTAAGCTTGTTTAGCTGAGCGACCAGCTTGTCACAGAGTAAGTAGTTGAATTTTCCAACCCTAGAGGCTCTCTTCCTGTTTCGTTAAGCTACCTCCAGCTATGATGACTGTAGGTGGATCACTGGGCACCATATGGCAGAGGCTTGACAGTTTCTCTCAGAAACAGGCATGCAATTTAAGTAAAATAAGGTGGTAGAATAATGCCCTAAAAGTTTTTTGTAAAATTTATTATCAAATTGAAACTGGTGCAAGGGAGCATTCAGAAATTATTCAGATTTTTAATATTCTTCTCATTGTCATTAATACCACAATACCATATAATGCTGTCTAAAGGAAGGCGGATTTGGATCAATGTGCTGTGTGAGAGCAAAAAATAGAATAGTGTGAACACAGGCTAACACGGTCACAAAATGACAGGGCCAAACGTGTGACAAACAAAATGTCATATATGCCCCGTGAAACACTGAGATCTGTTGTGAGGATTTATGGTGTAGCAGCAACTGTCACATGTAGGCTAGAGCACTTTCTCTGAGCAGTGGATGTGAACATTGGCTTGCATGGCCACTTTATGACCTGTGAATGCATGCCATCCACTCTCTTGTCTATTTCTACGTTGACTTCTCTGGTGGGAAACATACTAAAGCATAAAAAATGTAGATTTTAAAGCGTAGGCAATTGTTTAGTTTCATCGATTCAAGTCATTTCCTGACTGAATGGGTAAATCCTTTGGCCCAGTGTGGGTTCCAAATGTCGTAGTGTACGACTGGTTAAATCCATCATTACTGAGTGCTACTGCAATGGCAAGTGTCAATATGTGGCTATACTCAACACAAGTTGGATTGGATGCAGTTGAAAAAACTATCTATATATATATTTCTTTTTAGCAGCTTAATTTTAAAGGTTGAATATCGGCAAATCACATGCACATTCTAATATTCCAAATGAATTACCCTATTTGTTATATCTTGATAAAACAGATATAAAGAAACACAAGACAAAATGTGATGATAAAAACAAAAGTGGAGGTGTATAGCTTTGATAAAATTGTGGAAGAAATTGCCTGCATAAGTTTGCATGTCCTTCTTAATAAGATTTGCGATTGCAAGATACTCAATATGCATGTCACAATAAGTCAATAGTTAGTATAAGTACACTATCTGGGTTAATAGTTCCTATTACTGATGCGTTTTTCTTCTTCCAACAACAGAGTGTTAACTAAGTGTCTAATCTTGGTAATATCTAGTAATCCCACACCTTGCAGCTCTGTGTAATTACCATTATTAATCCAGGACAAATGTAGCCTATTGTAAAAGATGATCCTCACTCAGTTAAGTGCAAAACACAAGTAACAATAGGCTATATAATATTTGTAAGTCAGCCTTTCCTATTAGGCCACTTCCTCATCTGCATTTGTCTTGCATGCCATGTGAATATAATGCGATCCTAAAATAGGTCAGATTTGCACGGTCCACAGGAATGTTACATTTTAATTCAAATAGACTACATTTGCTTTCCCATAGCTTTTCCCATCAGCTGAGCTGCTCGTGCTGCAGGACACCACCTGTTTGGATGAAGCTTGCCTTGTTGTTTTTCTTACACCAAATCACAAATCAGCTAATCACCAGTGAGTCTGACATTATTATAATCAGCTGTGTGAGTCTTACTTACCTTTCACACGGCGTTTGGGCTCCTAACGGCTCATTTTTCCGGGGAAATGAAAAGACTCTCGTTGAGTCATATCAGTTCAGGTCCGTTATAGCGGCTTCCCAGCGTTTACATCCCCAAACTGAACAGCGTCAGGAGTGTGGACAGGATCAAGTTAAGGGAATGACCTGCGAAATGAAGGATGAGCCCTGAAACACCACATCACCACAGCTGTACTCATCTTGTGTCTTGTTGCTCTCATTGACGAGGGGGGATGATAAATTATCGACGAGTAGGCTATGGATTTTTATAAAATCATTTAATTCTTCACGACAGCACGAGCGCTAAAAGATCTGATCATTTTAGGTAAACGACGAATTTCTTCTTCTATTTTCCGACAGTGGCGAGGAGAGCAACGGATGAGGCATGATTGCTGCGCGCTCCCGAGCAGTACAGGCTCGTTCGCGGGTCAGACGCTCCGTGGCTGTGGGAGTGAACCGCAATAAGAAATAATTCATGGGGAAAAGGTCGGCATTTTGACGGAGCGAGAACTGCTCCTGTATGTTGCACATTTGCTTTGAATAAAACCAAGTCATTTACTTCCTGCAACGTCTCAATAAACACGGGGAATTTATTTGCATTAAAGGTCTAATTTGAACGAGTTTATTATGAACTGACTTAATTTTGCTTTGATTAAGAGAGGATGGAAACCTGAGGAAATGATGAGATGGCTATAATAACCTACTCTAGTTAGCTATTGGTCTCTATAATGCACTGAATCTAATTTGCCATAGCATCCATTTTCATTTTCCAAACATTTTAAAAGGACGAGGCTACTGCATTGAAACTCATATGTATCAATCGCATTAGTGCAGGTTATATTCTCATGTTATTCATGCTCCTTTAAATGGGCCCTTTTCATTGACATTATAGGACTTGTTATGTAAGACTCCTTCCCTGGATGATTCTGTAAGAGGGCTTTCCTCCCTCAGGGCTTAGATTGTGCCCAGTGAGAAAACTAATAGGCCTTACATGCGAGGAGAGACAGAGATGTCCCTGGTGCCTTGGTTTTGCCACTATTAATGATTATTTTCATTTATTTGGTGGATGGTCTGATGGGCAGTGTGCGCTCTCCCTGCTTCCCATTCATTAAAACAGATACACACACTGTACCTGAGAACTGCTCATGCAGCACACAGCCAGGCTGTTCAGTACTGAAGTGCCTTAAAAAGAAAAGCGCCTCTAGATGCTGAGACAGGGTAGGACATTTCCACTGAGCTTCACAGCTGATCCACACAATACTTACCTAAAGCTACAGTGCATGCATTTACATTTTCTTATTATTCGAATCACAAAATGGGACAACAGAAATGACACATTCTGTCTAAATAAATGCACAAGATTATATAAAAGTTGCTTGAAACCCACAGTCAGAGTTGTGCTGTAGAGAAAGCTGGACTCTTGTTTCTGCAGAGGAAAACACGAAGGACTAGGATGTGGTAGGTTACTAGAAGGTAAAATTAAATTCTCCAACCTTTCCAAAATTATAAGATTTAGAAGTACAGAAGCTCATCTTACCAGTTAGAAACTTTAAAAGCTTTAAAATTTCATTATTTTTAACAACATGGCTTTTAGGTCATAGTTACATTCAGTTATGACGTTTTGATCACCAGTTTTATTGAGAATTACAACAACCATGCAAACCTTCAGATAGATCTTAAGTCCATAGTTTAGTTCCATTTTCTAACCCATATTTTAGGTGAGGAAAATGCCAGTTGGTGTGGATGGAAGGCCAAAACTGAGTGAAAAAGATGCTATTTTATCTTACATAACACTTCCTGGTTCAACTTTGACCTCCTGCCCTTACCCGCAAGTATGCAGTTTTGTTTGCAATGGACAGAGTCAAAACACTTTGTTTGGGCCGTTACATTTTGGTTTCACTTCAAAATAAGTGCCTTAAAAAAATTGCATGAACTGGACATTTCGCTAAAACTCTGGCACTCATGTCATTTAACTTCTTGGCTTTTATTATAAAGCTGTGTCCCTGAATCCCAGCATCTGAGCAATGTAATTGGAAATAGTGGAAATGCAAACATGACCCAAGATTCTGTTTTCACTCACTAATTGTGTTTATTGTTTTATTTTGTAAGGGCCCAGTTTGAGACTGTCACATAGGCTACCCTCATATTTGTTAAGATTTAAAAAAAATTCAAAGGTACAACAGAAGCTGAGGAAAAGACCCTTTTGATCACAACCTGAGAGGATGAAAGAATGAAAGTTGCTTGTGTGTGCAACCAATAGGTGTGTGTGGAAAAGGGAACAAAAGCTGTAAAGGTTGTGATGGCAAATGAGTACAAAGTTTCCCTTCACGATGGGAGATTCACATTTTATTTGCAACTTGAAAGCGAATGACGCAATTTGATTCACAAACATGTCCAAATCATCATTTCAGTGGAAATCAGTGTTAGATTTGAATGTGTTTGACTCTGCAGGAGCTGGCCCTAATCTACATTCATCTCAGAGACTCTTTAGATGTTCATTATTAAGTCGTCAGGGCAAAGTGAGTCGGGACTACTTTAGCAAATCGGGCATGGGGTGCATGAATTTGCGATCCATTTACAGAATTACAATGGACATCAATTAATTCCAGCCTCCTACACTTAATGAATGGTTTGCAGCGAACAAATCAAACATATTTCTGGTAATAGTTTAAATCATTTTGGATAAAGCCTGTGTAACAAAAAGAGCAGATTCTGAGAGTCTTTTTTGGGTATGATGTGTATGGACAAAGACAGGTAGTAGGTGTTGCCTTTAATGGATGCTTTATTTTTGGACTTGGGACTTAATTAAAGTCTGTCATTAGAATTGGACCGGGCAGGAGAGCTTGAGTTTGTTAAAAGAATCAGACTGCCCATCTCTAGCCTCTCTTGTGTGATGCTAGGTGACCTGGAAGTAAAAAGCAACAGAAGGCATTCCCGCCCACTGGCTATGCTGGCACAGGGCTGCCCCCACTCTCACCGTCAGCTCCACCATCACACATCACATCACATACACACAAGTACAGACACAACAGCTGTGCTCTCCAACAATCTACTTTTCCGTGTCCTCTCACCATTGCCACCTCTCTTTGTGGAAGAGTCTGTGTGCCTGGCAGTCTGAGGTAGCCTAATTTAGTAGTACTCCCAAAAAAGTCCCCTGTGGCTGAAAACAAGGGAGGTTCCAGGCCAGACAAAGTAGGGCCCATCACCTACTCCTCTGCAAGGAAAGCCCTGCTGGCTCCCAGCCCAGATAAAAGAGGAGGGCTGAATGTACGACTCATATCTCTGCTCTGTGAAGGTGTTCCAGGAAGTACAAACAAAAAAGGAAACATTAGAGTTCCTGTGTGAGGCTGACACACTCAAAAAGAAGCGTTGCCACACACAAATATTGACAGACTTATTTTCACGAGTGACCTTGAAGAATGGTGTGCATATGGTGTGTCTCATCCCATGTGTGGAAGTAAAGCCTCTGCTGTGAGAAAATGACTGACTATGGCGATGTTCCCGAGCTGCGCGCACCTCGAGGAGAAAATGCAAAGCGGGTCACTTGGTAATGAAAGCCGAGAGATTCCTCAACACCATCCCACTTTATCGTTTATCCTTCCTTCGAAGACCTTAATGGGTTTTCTCCTGCACCAGAGGATCATTCATCTTCTAAGTAGCCTTGTCAGTCTCTCTACACTGGGATACAACAGTGTGACGGCTACTAGTCCCCTAATTTAGATGCGAAGTCATGAGAGGAAATATGAGATGAGCTTTTTTGCCTTCATTTCATTATTCTTTGATCGGAAAATGCACATGCAGCTTACTCTGGTGCCATAAGGTATATTGTTGTGTACTGCAGTTCATGTGTGGCAGGCACACACATTATTTACACGTGAGATTCGAGTTAACACAGTTTAAAGCAGATTTCAACATTTATGTTACTCTCTGGAAGAGAAACATCTTTTTTGACATCACTTCCATTTCAAGTCTGTTCTTTGGCATAAGTAACCATGGTTACCATATTGTGTCTCATATTTAATGGATCCTGTCTCCCTTTATTGTGTTTTCCTTCCTCTTCCTCTCTGTGCTCTCCTTCTCCCACCAGATGCCTCGACTTCACCGGGTTTAAAAATAGATACATCCCCCCGGTGCTGCTTGAGCCTAACTTTTCATGGGGGAAATGAATAGCACACATACTGGATGGACTGAGGGGAAAAATAATAACCTTAAAGATCCAATGACAAATCAGTTTCTGCTTGCATAAGAAAAACAGTACGAGCAAGAGCAAAGGTCAGAACAAAAAGGAATTTTGCTGAGGTTTAGACCTGTGTGACTCTCTGTTCTTCATAGAGCTTGCTCACTGGGATTTAATCTTTTAACTTCACTTTGGTTTTGATCTCAAATTAGTCCTTGCCATCTGTTGCACATGATTGAAATATCTACTCCTCCTGACAAATCAGATTCAAGTGTAAGAGTGTTCTCAATACCCTAATGAAAAACCAATCCTGCTAAATATTTGAACAGGAGTTTTTATGGCAGGTTAATAATGACAGCATTTCCAGTCCAAGCATGACTATACGGATATTGATTTCTCACTAGCTGCTGCTGATCTGGACTCTTCTTTCTGATCTTTCTTCGTGCTTACATGCACAAATCCAGAAAGATGCCCATACAGACAAATGTATTTATGGTTCTGGGTTCCTGTGAGTCATCTCATAGGAACATCTCATCTGGAGACAAAAGGAGTGAGACGGTGAGAAGACTGGGGGAGACAGAGGGTAAAATAGAGTGAATGAGAGGAGGAGGAGGAAAGTGACATTGCAAGAGAAGCCCGGTAAGGCACAGCAAACGCTGGAGTCAGAGTGTGACAGTCTGGCAGGAGGAGAGCAGAGAAGAAGGGAGGGGGAAGGGCGGACGTGGGAGGCAATGCGAGTTGAGTCAAAGCCCCCGAGCTCCCCTGATTTCTCTGTGAAAGACACAGTGCTGAAAAGATGGATAGCGTGTGCCCTCTCTGCCAAGGCATGCCCAAGACAATGACATCATCATCATCAAACTAGCAAGGACACGAGGCGAGAGCCCCAGACTCACACTTGGATCTTTTATTCATTATTATTCACTCACTTATTCATCATTTTCCTTGTGCTCAGACTATCGCTTTACACTGACACAGATCATGAAGTCTTCATACTTAAAATTACTTAAAAAAAATAAAATAGAACTCTAACTTCAACATACAGTCAGACTGTCACTTTGCACTGACAGTGATCATGAGTAGTCTTCATACATCAATAAAAATGTACTCTTACATACATATATAGCCATATGTGAACACTTTGGTGTGTAGCACAGGAAGAAATAATCACAGGTTTAGGTTTAACAGGAGGCTACAATTAAAGAACAGGAAAGGGTTTTTTCGTTCCCTTCATACTGTATGTGTGTGGGGTAGATATACTGTTACTGCAGGCGTTTAACTCTGTTGAGCAGCGGCGTCACTGCTGGCGCCCCTTCTCTGCGAGTCTCTTTGCTTTATTCTGGAGGTAACGTGCTTTACCCGCCTCGAAACGCCTCTGCTCCTCCTCTCCATCAATCTGAAGGAAACAGAAAAAACACAAAAGATTTGTTTTCAGATACATTC